CCTTGTGTATGTAACTGCAGCTCAGGCTGCTTCACTTGCCCTGACTAGCTTGATCCCTTTCACTCAGGTACTACTTGGCCACAGCAGAAATGCACTCCTGGATCAGGCCTGGGGCCACAGACACTGGGAATGAAGGAAGAGCTGTGAAGAGCTTCCCACTGCTGCAGGGGGTGAAAGTGTTGCCTGTGGGTTCAGCATCAGGGGGCAAAGACAGACAATGCCTGCTCTGGCACAAAGTCTTGAGGGGAAAGGTAGTCCCTGAATACAGTTTGAACATATCAACTGCAGTGAATTTTTGTGTCCAGTGCCACTGGTATTTCTTGCTTGATTAGAGGCTCCCTAAAATTGAGTTCCTCATTCAGATATTCCCTTGGCTGCCCTCCAAACCAGGTGACTGTGACCCTTCGTATTCACTCTTGCATTCACCTGCAAAACTCTGAATTAGCAAAGACAAGTGTCACAAGTGCTCAACATCTCCCATCGCCAAGATTGTTATTTGTTATACCTGTCAGTCAATGACTGCTCTATCTCACTGTGGACAGGCGTATTCCATCCTGCTGATGTCAAAAGCATATCCATCCATTCAGCAATGCTCTATGCCAAGCAATTGCCACTCCGCGGGGAAAGAAGATTGTGATCAGCATCATTTGTCTACATAATTGCACTGCTTTCTGGACAATTGTTGGGTCAGAGGATAACATTTTTTACTTATAGTCGTTCCACATTCATCTGAATTTTCCTGTGCCTTTTCCTACAACAAAGATTTCGATGCTACTTGGCTTCATACTACAGAAAGTGTACTAGAAACCTGAGAAAAAAATACCTGAAAGTAAATCCATTACACTCAATTGAACAGAATTTTACATTAAGGATCTGGAGTAGTGCCTCAGATTCAAGGTGCATTTCTAGGAAAAAAGAAAGTCCATATACACAGCTTCTTTTTTCCTCATATTGTGTAACTACCAACCAGAATTCAAATATACTTGCCTGGATGTTATCTTGTCTTTAAAAACTGAAACAAAAAAATATATGTTCCCTTTATATCTTAATGTCCATATAATCTGGTTCTGAAAGTCCCTAAATGAGAAATAATATTTGTTTTCTTTATGATAAGAATTCTTTTTATTTCCATAAGATAATGCATTTAGTATTTTGCCTTTTTGTTATGCTTATTAAATAAACAAGTCAACATCTAAGTTTAACACAGTTATTGCCTTAGGCAAGCCACTATTTTACTTCCTTAACACCTCAAGGGTTTCCAAGTAGCCATGTGAAGTAGAGTTGTTTGCTTCATTTTTCATTGTCTTGCTGGTAGCCTACACAGAAAGTCATGCATCATTTTTTGATACAAGAATGGGTTTTGCTCAAACTATTTTTCTTTTTCTTTTAACCAAGTGCATTTTTTTCAAATTAAATATGTATTTTTATTTTAAATTATCTTTTTATTTAAAAAAGGATCATTTAAAATTAAACATGGAATTTTAACAATGTACTGCCAAACTTCTTAAATTCAATAACTTGATTTGCATTAAATATCATGCAGCATTCACATATTATGTATCTGTTGATAGAGATTTGCTGACCATCAAACCACTGAGCTGGGAGAGTTTAAGTGACTGGAGAAAACAGCCTCTGACAGAAGTGTTTAGTCCAAGTTTGATATCTGTAGCTTCCTCTGCAGGTTCAGAGAAGGTATTTTCTTCACTTTATTCAGGTTAGCTTTATGCAATATCTAGTTCATGCAAAGTTATCTCTTGAGAGCTGATAAAGGCAGAAAATCTTACTTTCTACTGCAGGTAAAAGCTCCATGGCATAGACTGAAATCTGCTAATTCTAAAATCTTGCAGGGCACAGTAAAGAAAGAAACACGTAGTTCTGTTTACTCAGTAGAAAGAATAGCTAATTTGACTAATAAATCACTTTAATATAAGTAAGAAATAAATATGAAGTAAATGTGAAATGTCATTCATTCACAAAGTAGCAGCCAAAATAATCTGTTGTATGACTTTCTCACAACAGTGGAACAGGATTGATTATAGTGATCAAAGACTTTTCACCCATCACCATTTTAAGCATGGGAATTATGCTGCCAGTCAACAATATAGTAAGCAGGGAGAATATTATGTAAAAGGATATTACCCACTCTTTTTTGGGTAATAATGTACTTCACAGTCTAGATTATCAAACAAGTGAGGTCAGCCACCATATTATTCACTGCTACACTGTAAAATCAAAATACTTGAATGATACCAACCGAGAGGAACACACCCTTTTCCAGAAAGCTAATTACAAAGTAAACGCACAAAAGAAAGACAGAGTGATGATTTCTTCTGACCCTTTGTGTTTTTTTATTTTCAACACGATTTCCTAAAGCAGGGGCACCAAAACACAGCCTACTAGCATCAGACTCACCAATGTCAGACTCACAACCAAAGCAAAACCCCCGTTCTATGTTACGCATTTTCTTACTCAAGTTGCTTATCTGCTGTGATTCCTGAAATATTTCCCTCAAAGATTAGGACCCCCTAGAATACAGTTCCTCTTGCTCTCAATGAAGCAAGTATTCTTCAGCCTTAACTCAGTATGTTGTTATACATACATGGACTGAGGTTACCAAGCAACCCAAGTTGTTTGATAGAGCAAGTGGTCCAGACTGTTAGTATTCTTTGCAAATTTCATTGACAATGATATTCTGTCAGCTTCCAGGTTGTCTGAAAAATACTGAAAACATCTAATGTGAATGTCATTAAAACCTTCTGCAGAAACTCTCCCTTAATTACGACTTCTCTTGCCTCTCTCTGTGATGTGCTCATTTAACATGTCTCCATTGATATTGTGTAGGGTTAATGTTATAATATTGAATAGATGGAAGTAAACTCTAATAAATACTTTGCTGGGAATACTGTAGAGCTAAGGTAGCTGAAAGGTACTGTGGTCAGAGGGGAAGGATTTGTGTTCCAATATTACTTAGCAGAAGAGGGGATTGACCCTCTGACTACAATGCTATAATACAAAATAAAAGGAGATTTGACCACCACTACTTCTACCTATGCTGTGAATCTGCCTATCCTTCTCTTTTGTGCTTTGTAGCATCTTCCTCAAAACACAAAATTGCTAATGAAAATCAGTTAATCTGTCTAAATAGAAAGGGACCCTTTTCTTTGAAATCTGCCCCCTCTCCCACTCCATCCATCTCAAAATGAAACCCTCCCTTTTCTCCACTCAGATTGACTTATTTATTATTTATTATTTATTTCCTGGGCTGATGAACTCATAAATCAGTTTCATGCAGAGTCCTGACATGCTTAACGCCACAGAGATTCAGTAATTCAATTATTAGGCTTGAATTCATTGTGTCAAACAGCCTCAAATTCCTTATGGTCTGCTTTTCATGGTAAACAGGACAGAGCTTCGAAACTGCATCTTAGAGACAAATCCAAGAAGAATTGAAGCTGTTGGCTCTAGCCTGTCTGTCCTCCTAGTAAAATCCAAGCGAATGGTCAATTAGGTAGATATAGAATGTTGAATTGTTATACATATCTCTGACATGTTATGGTCCTGATAGGAAAGTGAACCACACAGAAGGGCAGACAGGTAGATCACTTAGTAACAAGTGATATATTCAGTACATCTGCTTTCTGAGGAGAGAGAAATCGAAGTCATAACCCTGTGATCCTTTCAGAACCCAAATCAAACTTTGAGTATGTGCTTATAGCAAAAAAACCTGAAAAGCAACCAAGCAAACAATAAGAAAGAAGGAAGCTGTTTTTGCACTTGTAAAAATAACATAAACAGAGAAAAATTTTACAATTCCTTCCATAGAATGTGAAATTTCAGGTGTTCAATATTTTTATTCCTGTGAGCAGTTATTAAATAGTGCGTTTTTTACATCACTTTTTTCTTCTTTTATAACAAAAGTCAGAAGTCTTCTGTTTTGGAGACTACTGGTAGCTAGACCTGCTTAATTATGATATACAGGGTTATGAAATATTAGATACTGTATGAATTAAATTCAATGTATTATCTTCTTCTTTATCTAAGAAATATGCAGTGGCAAAAAAAGACAATGTCCTAAAATTTCAATACCTATCATCCAGAGGGTAATCAAATATGATTGTCAAAGCTGAATCAACTTGTAACCAGGCAATGCATTTCATAAAATCTGTTAGCTTCATAGAAGTGGAATCTATTCCAATAAGAAGCAACTAACATAATATTTAATGTAGCTGTATGAGACTGCAAAAAAAGATGCAGTTTAGTAGTGATATGAGAATCTTCATTGCTATTTTGGAGGAGCAGTCTCTGGATATATAAGATCCCTCACTTAAGAAGTTAGGATGAGTGGACTCCATAGTTTAGAAATAGTTTTGTGTTTTAAAATGCAGTTTCTTATAAAAGTTAAACTTTATGAACAGGAAAACTTAAATTTTAGTAACTTCTGAAGCTCTCCTTCAACAGGTCCTGAACAGAAAGGAGCTTTCTTTTCTGTTCCTCTTAGAAAGGATCCTCTTTCCCCCGCTTCCAATGCAAGATTTTTTCCCTCTTCACTTTTCCCTATCCTACCAGTCCTTCTAATACTCTTTCCTCTAACTGTAGAGGCTATTCTCAGACACTTTTATTTGCAGCAGTTTCCAAATTCTTCAGCTTCCTTTCCCTAAGTCCAGTAAGGACTTCCAAATTGTTAAATAAATTTATTTTTTCCTGCAGAAAAGAGGTTTTTAGCAGGCAAATCCCCAAAACATCCAGAAATATGACTACAGTCCTGTTGACATTACAAGTTGGAATAATTAGATGAGTCAGTGCTTTATCTGAATTATATCTGTAATATTGATAGGTTTCATTCTAGCTGGGAAAGTTTAACGGCGGTTCCATACTGTACAATTTGCAGTCATATTTACTTTGCCCAGAAAATGAATATGGTAGTCTGTATAATAAATTCAAGGATAAAATACAAGTCAGGAATACCAGGGAGAAAACAAAACTGACAATGAAAAACTTACTTGTCAGAAGACCAGTGATATTGTAAAAAATGCTGTCGTTGGTCAGTTTTTGTAGTCACTCTGAGGTCTCAAGATATCTAAGAGTGTTGAGTATGTTCTGAAAAGAAGAAGAATCAAGGATTTAGTAATTCCATCATGTATCAAATGCTAAAATAAAACCTGTCCAAAATAGATTATTTTTCCATATTATGAGGTTATTAATTCGTAGAATATGTTTTGATTTCACCAAATCTGTAGTGAGTTTATGAGCTTCCAGAAGTTGAACTGCTCAGATCAAACTTCCTGGAGTGCACAGGGAATCAGAACAATGAGAAGAGTAATTATTTAATTTATCCTCTTGCATACCTACATTTCCAAGCTCCTCCAGCTGAGAGAGAAAATTGAAAATGAAAGAGGTCTTGCTCCGTTCTGGTTTAATAAACCAATATACGGGAGTAAATGACTTTCCAAAGCAAGCAGATAAAATCATGTCCCTAAATGTCTTTCAAACAATTGACTACTGTTCCTTGTCTGTCTTTTGGACTAGTTCATCTATTTGGCCTCCTGATTTGTGATCTAGTAGATGCAGATGTCCCTTTGTACTCACAATGCTATTCTGCATTAAAGTCTAGCTTTGTAATTTCCATTTGTCCTTAAAAGACAGGGCAGTTTGAGTCAAGGAATCATCTCAGCTCTCCAAAGCAAAATGAAACTGAAAGACTGGGAGGTGACCAGTGCTTCCATCTGTGCAGACTGTGGAGGGAGGAGGTAGAGGAGTTGGAAATTAAAGAGTGGAGGTGAGCCTGGCAAAAAGAAGGGTTAGAGGAAAAGTGGTTTTAGTGGTGTCTTTGTTTCTCAATTTTCTAATTTATTTTTAATTGGCAAAAATTAAATTAATTTCCCCCAAATTGAGTCTGGATTTTCTTACTTGAGATGTTAATCAGTGAGTTATTTCCTTGTCTTTATTTCAATCCATAAGATTTTCTATCATATTTTCTCCTCATGTTCTGCTGAGAAGAGGAATTGAGAGACTAGATGGGTGGGTGCCTGGCTGCTGGCCAAGGTCAGCCCACCACAGCTATAAAATAATGTTTCCATCACCAATCTTTCCAAGACGCCGAGGACTGAGACTGGAATGGAAAACAAATCCATACAAATAAAACTCTGTCTATAACACATAGGAATAAACAGAATTAGTAAGGAACAGAACTGTTTCTTAGAGAAAACTACATTAACAGGAAAAATTCATAGAGCTCTAGCTTCTGTAGTGCAATCACAAATTTGAAAACAAGAGCTTACATTAACAAGGATCAAGTCAAATGACTCATACTTGATGAAAGGAGAGTGCTGAAAACCTAATTTGAAAAAGAGCTCTGCTTGTGATATGATACTGAGGTCTCTGGCCTGTTAAGGAATTTTTGACAGTGATCAATGAAATATAACATAGTAAGTGTTTAAAGATGAAACTGATCAACTTGCAGTAATATATTTATTCTGCCAACACTTATTTTAGAAACAATTACTTAAAGTTCTTTCACAGTTGTTTTAACAGTCTTGAAGTGATTTATTTAATTCCAGATTACATTAAGATCCAGAACTCCATTTTACCAATCGTGATACTAACCTTACATTTCAGCTATGAAAAAGATTGAAGTGCTACGCATCTCTACCTGATATTGCAGGCTATGGGATGAAATCTCCATCACATTAGTACTGCAAAGGGTTATGCATTTGTTTGGATTCCATTGGTTTTGTTTAGGATATGCCTTACAGTGGCAAAATTAGCAACACCCTCTCTAAATCTCATTGAATGAACTCTTTCCTGAATGAGCTTCTTGTTAGAATTCATATTCTGTTAAAATAATCAACATCCCACTAAAAAGATGAGATCCATGGTAAACATTCACACTGCCTCACATACTTGTGAGAAACTTCTGGTATAATAAAACCTAGAAAAATAAAAATTGCTAGTAGAACTGAGCAACTATTAATTCTCTCAACAATCTCCTGTTTACAGCCTAACAACTCTTGTAATTTAGCTGTATTTTCAAGGCTAAATAACTAAGGTCTCATATTTGTACCGTGCAAAATTTGTAAACACACAGTGAAATTAACTGTTAGTTGGGAAAGAGAGCTTGGAAATAGCCTTATGAAAATGTCACCTAAATCCTCATCAACTGTCAAAAAATAAAATGGTGTATTAGGAAATATTAGGAATAGAATAGAAAACAGCAGAAGGAACATGATAACACTGCCATAAAAATCCATTGCCCACCTAACATTTTAAATATTGAATATGGTTCCAGTCATCTCAAAAATGACAGGATAGAATAGAAGGATAAAGAAAAGGGTGACAGGATGATCAAAGGTATGTAATGGCTTCTGTAGTAGGAAAGGAAAAAGAAAGGTTTTAGGATTTTCATATGGAAGAGGAACAAATGAGGGAAAGAACTGTGACAGAGCCTCAGGAAAATCATGAACAGAGCTAAGGAAGGGAATAAAGAATGTTTTTCACTATATTTCATACCACAGGAAGCAGTCACAATAAAATGAGCAGTTAGCAAATTTAAAATATGAAACCCAAGAAAGGATGCTTTCCACAAAGATCATAATTAAAGGGTGGAACTCATGGCCACAGGACGTGGTGGATACCACATACATGTGTACCCTTCAAAAAACAATTCACTGTGGTGGTAAAAGAAACATTGACCAGTACTAATCTGTATTTTACCCAAAGGTAAACAGTATAAACCTTCAGGTTAAGAAGCATTATGGACTGCTCTAGGGTTATACCATGGGAGGTTGTCCTTTGGTCTGATTTAAATACAGCTGTTGCAGCGTCCTTATTATTGAGTTCTTAGTAATTTTTTTCTACATGCAGATGTTAGAGAGTGTTAGTGCAAATATGTGATTTAAGAGTTGTATAAACATACAGCCCTCTACAGAGGGGCTAACATACCATTTTAAGTTAAAATTGTTCAGCCTACTCGGGCATGCAGGGTTTAGGCTAGGGTTTTCTGAGAATCCTCAGGTCTGGCATCCAACTGCTACTGAAGACTAAAGGGATTGATACACAAAACTGTCATTTTATGGAAATAAGTAACGATACTGACATTTCTGTCCTCAGAAAAGAAGTATACAGTCTTTCTTTTGTAATTAATGATCTTCATCTTAACTGTTTCATCTGTCTCATGATGGAAGGAATAGAGACAGATTTTTCCAGACAAATACATAGGCACAGGACGTGTGAAATTGTCACTTTCCGCTTATTGTGGTGATAAAATACCATTATGTTACTGAATAAGCAAGGTTGCTTAACTCTGTATCATATTCTGTTCATCTGATGCAGATTCATTAAAGACTTTGCCCTGCTGTCATGCTACAAGTAAAGGGCTTGCCAGTTCCACTATGGGAGGGCCAATGCTTCCTGTCATGTGCTGGATAAGAAGACAGACTGGGAAAGATATGTTGCCTGGAAAAGCATAAATGGGATCTAAAGGGACCTGTTACTTGATAATTCACCCATCAGACTGACAGTTTTTCTCCAGTCTATTGTTGTGTGTTTATGAATTCTTATGCACCTCAGTTTATTGTTAAATGTTATGAATTCTGTCATATCTCCATATTGTCTCCCTTTCTCCCTCAGATTTTCCCTCCAAAAGTTGTTTGTCACCCTGTCTCCCCAGTTTTCCCGCTCCTCTGCTGCTCATTGGTCACAACCTGCCACCATGCAGAGAGAGCTACTATTGGCCCAATCCCTCAGAGACCCGGGAGTTCCGCCCACCTTTCCCCTATCCCCCTATCACATTTTTCCCTGAGTTATCAATCTCTTGCGCCTCCCCAGGTTAGAATCCACCCCTCAAACCTACGTTATTTAAACCCTTGTTTCCCCCAAATAAATGGCATTGCTGCACGAGACCTCAACTGTGTTAGAACCCTTATTGCAGTGCCCGGTCCCATTTCCCTTCCCCCCGCGGACCACGGCACTGTCAGATAAAAGGCCGTGTTCAGGAATTGCTTTTAGAGCACTGCGAAGGAAATGCTCTGATTGACCTTGGCTGACTAGATCTCTGCTTGTGTAGGTGACAACTCAGTTGTGAGGCATGTGTGCCCAGAGTCTTGGTTGCCCAGATCACTTACCTTGGTTGCTATCACTATTCCCTCCTGCTACCTACCCACCCATGTTATTTTTCATTGAAAACCAGCGTGTGAGAGGAGGGATGGGGCAGAGCTTCTGTATCCCAAGTTGCTGGAAAGTGAACCAGGATTTGGCCCTGAGGAGGATTTTCTTCCGGTACTTTCATATTGGTTACTCAATGTCTGTCCTAAAATGTTAAATATCCTGAAAGCTGAATGTGTCATGCTAGCCTAAACCGACTTGGTATTTTGGCCACTGTTTTATGTGGCATACTGGCTTAGGTAGACGAACTGTTTTATCTAATATAGACATTTTTAGTTACTCATTTATGCAAGATACCAAAATACTAAAAGATTATAGCAAGTCTGTCCAGAGTATTTTTATAATTACATATTTTTTTTATTTCCAAAACTGGGGATGGTCTTGTAAGGTCTCCAGAAATAAAACCCTTTATTTATTCTAATTACCCTAGAATGTGAAGTTGTAGAGGGGTACCAGAAAATACCAAAAACTCAGAATTTTCTGCCCTCAAAAATTTTCTTGCACACTAGCTGGAGTGATTCCTAAGAGCCTTGACCAAAAAAGGGAAACTAGACTGAAGAGATATTGCAGAAGAAAGTTACTTCTGACTACCCACATTGGAATAGTCACTACTCTTGAAATTTGTACTCTATACTGAGAAATGGTAGCCATTCACAATTGATGGGAAAAAAATGAGTTTTACGTACAAATAAGTGTGTCTGCAAAAGTTTCTTCAACAGTTTACCTCAATTAACATGAAATCATTATTTTGTCCAAGTCAAAAGACACTCTTATGCAGGCATGTACTTACTCCAATGCCTGTCCACTCTGTAAGGGTTGCTGCTTAGGTTAACTGCACACTCAGAAGAACATCTTCCAGTGGCACAGAAGCAAAATGCCATGAGCCCCAGGACATCATTGCATTTACGTTGATATTTCAGCTAGCAGAGTTGTGTTGG